TTTCAAACTAGAATTATCACTGCATAATAATATATATAATGATTATTAATTCTACATTTCATCAAAGCTGTATATCTTTATCGCCTCTTTAATAAATTAAATAAAACCATAGAATATAATAAAAATAATAACAAAATAAAAATCGGATAAAGCAAGGATAAAAATAAACGACGACAAAACATACAAACAAACTAACCTATTATGAAAATTTCGCTTTAGATTTAAAAAAAAAAAAGAAACACCGAAAATAAACGACAAAGAGGATGCACACAATCTATCAACCATTCTTTTTTTTCTCTCTCTCTCTCTGAAGCATTTTTTCCCCCTTGCCTGTTGCAGCGTTCCACCAGCCGTTCCTAGAATTCGTCCCCCGCATTCCTCGTCAAGTCATCGCCGCCGCAGTCATCATCTGATCCTTTGACCACCGCGCTCGCCAAACTGCCTGGTAATTCGAAGACATTTTTGGGGTGTTTGCGATGTCGTAATGGCGTTTCGAGGCGGTTGGTACTCTTTTCATTTATTGTTTTTCCTTTTTCTTTTTCTTTCTTTCTTTTTCTTCTCTTTCAATATTTTTTGTTCTCTTTTTTTTTTTTTTTTTTGGGGGGGGGGTCTTGATGTTTACCTGTGGGTGCTAATTGTACTCTATTTACCTTCGTTTCGGTGTTGTTCGTGGTGATGTCATTATTTATGGCGTTTTCTCTTGCTAGTTCGACAGACAGGCTGGCGAAAATGTGAATGACGAGGCCCAAGCCGAAGCCAAGGAAGAAGGTTGAGACGGTGCGCACGCAGGCCCACGCAGACAGTCTCCTTCCCATTTTCTGTCTATCTGAAAAAAAACGAAATATAATTCATCACAAAATACTTTCACAAAAGTCCATACTCTCAGAGCAAAGCCACAAGCCCACACTTATCGAAAAAGGGAAAAAATCAGTTTCTTTGTCAAGGGAGTTTTCTCGGAAATGGCCGTTAATCTAATTATCATAAAGAGGCAGGCCGCTTGTTCTTGTTTTTTAAGATATTGAACTGGCACAAGTGTTCAGAAATGTAATGACATTCGCTGCAGTGTGTTCACAGCTGAAGTGTACATCTGGCCTGTTCACCGTTCTTTTTTCACGGCCGGTGATTGCATTAACATGGTAACACGAAACGTCAAAATCTTATATAAACTTTTTTTTTAATCACACACCATGCAGGTATTTGAAAATCATAGTTTGTTCTTCGTACATAGAATTAGATAAACAGTCTGTTGAAGAGGAACAAATTGCGGGGAAAAATAGACAAAAAAAATAAACATCCACTCGGGAAATGACAGTTTATGACTCTTAAATTACATCGTCAAATGAACCACATGCCTCACCTCGTATATTCAGAGATCTAACTCTAACACCAGAAAAAAAATTGTTATCAGCAAAAAGGGAAAAAATATATATATAAACTAAAAGGAATGTTCTTTACATGGTACCTAACTCAACTACCAGTGATAAGTGTGCAGTGTCCCTGCGCTCACTGACTTTCTCAGGCGTGATATCAGGAATATACTGTTACTATAATCCCCCTAGACATTCCCGCTTGTCCATGTGTCCGGGTACTGTCTGTGTGCATTTTATTTTCCACCGAGGAAGCGTTTGTTTGTGTGTGTATGTGTCTGATTGTTGGTTGTTTGTGTTTACATGTACAGTTTACTTTCTTCGTTCACTTCGTTTACGTTTTTATCTTTTCTTGTTTCGTTTGATTTTATTGACGTTCCATTCGTATCATTTCTCACGTCATTGCTCTTCTTTTTTTTTCTTCTTTTTTTTGGTGCTTCCATGCTCTAGCGTTTTAAAAGAGATTTATACATGTACGAAACTCCCCCAAGGTTACGTAATACGAAGATGGGTCAATCCGCAAGACTCGCCCTCTGACTCACGCTCAAAAAATACGCGTATGTGATTATCTACGCCATGGCACCCTCGCTCTTGCCCGTGCCCTTGCCTCTGCCCCCGCGCTCGCTGTGGAGGCTCTCAGGGTACCTGGATGTATTTGTATATGTATGCTGTTTCGTCACTATAGATAGATAGGTAGATAGATAGAGAGATGGATAGATAGAGAGACAGAGAGAGATAGATAGAGAGAGAGACAGAGAGAGATAGATAGTTAGATACATACATACATACATATATACATACATACATACATACATACATACATAGGTGAATAGAGAGAGAGACAGATAGATAGATGATGATGAACACAAACACAGTAACGTGTGTACAAAGCTAAAAGGAGATGCCGTCTTAATGAAGACATGAACAGTGAACAAAGAAGACAACGGCAACCATGAATAGATAGATAGAGAGAGAGACAGAGAGAGATAGATAGTTAGATACATACATACATACATATGTACATACATACATACATACATAGATAGGTGAATAGAGAGAGAGACAGATAGATAGATGATGATGAACACAAACACAGTAACGTGTGTACAAAGCTAAAAGGAGATGCCGTCTTA